TAATCTACTCCTTATTCTCAATCTTAATCTTTGCCTCTATTTTGTTGTTTTTTAGTCTTTGTCTTTGTCGCAGCCTTTTACTTTACTGCGTCTTTGATTTTGTTTTATTCTTTATCTCTGTTGTTATCCCTGTACTTTACATTGTCTTTGTCTTTGTCTATATCCTTGTCTTTGCCGCTCCACATCACCAGTATATCTTATTTAAGATACCACTTAAGGGTTAACGCAAACAACTCCGAACTCGATTAAAAAGATTCACTTCAAAAAATATCGATTATTTTATGTTGATGGAAGAAAGTTGTGCTTCTTGTTTTTATTGCACAATTGGGGGATCCATAGTTTTACGCGGCTCGAAAGGTAAATGGATTTTTGTGAAAACCTAGCTTCCTGGGTCCTCACTACCCGCCTTGTATGTATTCCCTTTTATCCGCCGTCATTTGCTTTTCATCGGTTTTTGATAAAATATTTTACTCACTCGAAAAGCAAAAATCTTACCTTCGATTGATTCCGATCGTAACTAAATGCTATGACAACGGTATTCGCCGCTTGGTTGTTGCTGATTTTAACAACAGTGGACTCGATTAACTGATGGTGGGGACTGCGTTCGGCGCATTGTATAAAATCTTCGGTGCGCATATCCTCCACACGACGTAGCGAGCCATTCGCGAGCTCAATATATGAACCCTTCTTGAAACTTGATGTCGAATTGTGTGTGCTAAAATGGGGAAAAGTCATTAAAATCCAAACTAATACTATTTAATTTGAAGTAGAATTCTCCCAAAAACAAAACCAAGACCACTCACCGCATAACAGGTGGCTTCGCAGCATCCGTTGTGGTCACCATTGTCATCGTCGTCGCGTTCTTGTCAACGCCCGTTGGCCGCGTCAGTATGCGATGCTTCAGTGATCCTTCTTTGCCGCTGGGTATTTTGAAGAATTTCTCTGTATCCGATGGCATATCGGGTGGCGTCCTTTTCGCCTTCTCATACAAATAAGTGCCCGTCGAGAGCTGTGTCGTTGTCGCTGTTCGCTGCTCGCCTCTCGACGGCGGCGGCGGCGAGGTGACCGGCGCCTGTGCTCCAATTGTACCTGTAGCAGCGGGGCTGCGTAATCGCGATTTAGCTATACCGGCCGACGCACTTGAATTGCTATTGGCTAGCGGCGAGGTCTGGAAGACGGGCGTTGTATGGGGTGGCGGCGCTTGAAATACACCAGCGGCCACCGCGTTTTGTAGCGCTTTCAAGTATTCGGCGGGGTAGACTCCACCCTCGCCTGGCGAAACCGTTGGTGAGTGCGTGCTCAGCGCGCCGAGNTGGCGGCGCTTGAAATACACCAGCGGCCACCGCGTTTTGTAGCGCTTTCAAGTATTCGGCCGGGTAGACACCACCCTCGCCTGGCGAAACCGTTGGTGAGTGCGTGCTCAGCGCGCCGAGGTAGCCAGGTGGCACATGTGTGGCGCCATGTACGGCACTTGGATGCTGCTGCACTATATGTTGTGAGACGTGCGGATTGTGCGTTGCAAAAATGACGGGTGCATTGTAGAGACCAGCTGGACGACCAGCGCCGTAGAGTTGAGAATAGTTGTATTGGTAAGCGGCTACCACGGCCGCAGCCGCTGAGGATGCGCTGGTTTCACTGTAGGCGGGCTGTTTGGTGGCTGTGCCGCCGCCGCTGGCGATTAAGGCAGTGTGATCTAAAGCTTTGCGACTGACGTGCGCGGAACTATTACTGACCGGTGACATGCTCTCATCATTCTCCACATCCACAGAGGAGGAGGAGGATGACGGTCGACTGTTGTCGATGGATGCGGTGTTGCTGCTGTTATTGCTGCTGTTGTTGTTAGCCGCTAACGGTTGGTAACTTGTATTGCTCGCATAGGCATTACTCGCATTTGTGACCAGATTCATGGGACCAGATTGGCCATTTTCAAGCGTGCGTGTGTGTAGCTCATGCTTGTTTGGCTTTGGTGGTGGGGTGAACTCCGCTAGCGGCATCATTGCTGAGGTATCGTGCGGCGAATTCATATATTTAGGCGCGTTTGAGCAGCGCGTCAAATTAACGCTGAGTGACTGTTGTTCTCTTATTTGTTGTTGCTGATGATGCTGTTGTTGTTGTAAGTGGTAGTGCTGCTGCTGCTGCTGGTGTTGTTGTTGTTGCTGTTGCTGTTGCTTATGCGTCAATGAGGCGTTCGCTTCACTAAGCGCTGCTACCTGAGGTTGGGGGCGGTGCGGCAGCACCGTCAGCCCAGCTATTGGGGAAGACTGTGAGGAGGCGTTGAGAAACGTACTCAAATGCTGCTCGTACTGTTGTTGAATTTGTTGTTGTAACTTGAGCGCTTGTAATGCATTCAATTGGGTTAACTGCGTGTGTGTGAGTGGTGCTTGGGTGGTGATAATGGTGGCGCCGCCGCCGCCGGCAACAGCTGCTGACGTCGTCGTTGGCGAAAAGCGCACCGTCGCATCGGCACAACTACCGGAAACTATGTCCAGCGCATAGCCACACTGAGCGGGATGCTGATGGTGTTGGGCTTGCAGGTGATGCGTCACGGCATGGGGATGGTGTGAGAGTGCGACAGCCGGTCCGACCAACGGGCCAAAATTTTCAACAGCCGATAACATTTAATACTCTGGCGTTAATGATAATGACAAATATTTTGCGCACGCTTGTGAAACAGCCAGCTACGTATATACATATGTATATGTATAAACAACGCAGCGCTAACTGCGACAAGCCGCTGCGCGTTTGGTTACTGTTTTACTGAGCGCCTCAGGCGACTTGACTGGCGCGCACCGTCCTCCACTTTTTTGTTGATTGTGCAGCTCAAGGCGCTTTAAATCATTCCATGCGCATAAATCAGTTCACAGAATTGACGCATGAATAATAATGACCTCAATGGATTAACTAAAAATTTAGAAAGAAGAGAAAAAACAGAAAACAAATTATCAATTTGTAATTTTGCAGACTAAATTCGTGGTTTCTTTTGAACATAAATACTCTCTAAATTTCATGTTTTTTTATTGCTTTGGTTTAGCATCACAAAAGCCACAAAATTCTTAAATGTAGCATTTAACGACTAAACAAAAATTCAATTCGAATTCTAAATGAAATGCAAAATAAAATAAAAAAACACCGCCAGACAACAAAATTGGTATCCAAATCTCCGAAAGAAGAAGCACACAAATCAAAGAATTCAAACAACCTTTGGGGTAAGTTGCTGTCGCTAGGTCGTTTAGTCACTTTTTGATCTTTCTTCAGTATTTTGGTGTTTCATCGTTAACGTAGCCACCGTTGTTGTCGTCGCCTTTGCCGTTGCTATGTATATTCGTTTGTCCAGTGACTTTACGCTTTGATTATTGAACTTGTACTGGATAGGTGTAGTATAGTACACTAGCCAAACGTGCTGAGATGAGCGCGCCGTTGGACAGACGATCTACGGGCGAAAGACGAAGTTCAAAACGACGTTAAAACAAACCAACAAACGCATACATGTATTGTTGTTTGTACATAGGTATGTATGTATGTACGTAGGTAGGTTGGTATGTGTGCGCATGGTGTGAGTATAGCTCAAAAGACGGCTCGAGCAGACACCTAACAGACAGACGTAGAAACAAACAAGCGTACCAACTGATAGCCAACACCGTGCTTACCCAATTTGCCACAGAACGAGGACGAGTTCGAATCGACGTCGTTACGACCCCGGTTCGGTGAAGTCGTTTGGGTGAACTCGAAACGTCCTCGAAACGACGTTGAAACGAAGTCGTTTTTCCATACAATACGCAACGTCGTTTCGACTTCGTTTTTTCTAATCGAATCGGCGTCGGCCTGGTGAAGTCGTTTGGGTGAACTCGAAACGAAGTCGTTTTTTCAATACAAAACGCAACGTCGTCGTCGTCGTCGTTACGACGTCGGTCTGGTGAGGTTGTTTATGTGAACTCAAAACGACGTCGAAACGAAAACGTTTCTTCCGTACAAAATTTGTACTCTATTATACTAAAATTTCATCAGCTATACAACTTTTACAATTCTTCTTTTTATTCCGATTGAAAAGTTTTTTTAAATTTTGCGCACAATTTGAAATTTGATTTGTACGGTTTTATTAAAGATTTCGAGCATCGTTTTGCAGCTCGCTAGTATATCGTTTCTTGCGGTTCGCCGGCAAACAAATTGTTCACCAGAACGAGTCGCAAACGACGTCGTTACGAAGTTGTTTGGCAAATTGGGTAAACTATGTTAGAGTTGCAAGAATGTTCATATGTACATATGTGTGTTAATGCATATTTGTGTTGTTGCTCCAATCATAATCGTAAAACGGAGGTAAGACCATGATTAACCAGACGGCGCTCTCTCAAAAATATCACTTTGAGCCTCATCTAGCGCTGAGCAACATCTTTGAAACATTATTTATTCATCGCCTTTGGCCTGGCACAGTGTGCTAGGTTGGAAACTATATAATTACTATTTAAATTACTTAAATTCTAGGTATGCTTATTCGTTTCTAATGCCAATCCATATCCAATTTAGAAAGACATGAAGTCCCTAACACCCAGTAGTCAAGAGGGCTCAAACTCTCCCATGAAGGTTTAAGCTCCGCTCACCCTCACATTCGAAATACCCGAATGTACCTGGCATTTATGTACATAAAATGTTTGTTGGTATCTGCTTATCATCCAGATGTTATTTCAGTAAAGAAGAGCTTAGGATGCAACCTTAGTTGAACATTCATCCGTTTCATAACTTTTCTATTAGACGTTCGTTTACCCTGTACTACGTTATCTCCTAAAGTGCGAGATACGGAACTCGTTTGGAGCCTTGGGTTACAAAGCGGCATGCCAAAGTGTACACCAGTCAGCTTGGCGGGCAAGTGGGCGTGTTTTCGTGCAAAATTGCACACGGATCTGTGACTCGTTTTACATAGAAAATTCCACATAAAAAACTATAATAAGAAGAAGAAAGTAGCCTCGGTGTAAGTATGAGCTTTACGGCGATAAAAAAAAAACCATAATTTACCAATTATGCCGTACAAATGGCCCTAAACGCTTCACCTCTAACGGTATTCAACGCGATACCCGCTGCTTTGACGGTGACGAACTTGGTGGACTTTGCACGGGAAGTTTTTAGAAGGCGAAGACGAGTCGAGTAGGAAGGTGGATGGGGTGATGGCCACCAGTCCAGAGTAGTATGGTAACTCAACTGGTAGTGGCTTCGGCCACGAGGTCTGACCGGAGACTTAATTCTGGTACCACGGGGAGCAGTTGCCCTTGGAGCTTGCTCCAATCTGCTCGTGCGGCTTAGCCCTACGGGGAGTATCGTGGTGGCTGTGGTTTAAACCCAAATGCGGGGAGAGTCGTGTTGGCTCGATGTGGAGTTGCATTGCAACCGGGTGCCGGACCCATAGCACGGCAGAGGTTTAGGTAGGCCTCGAACCCTACCAAGGTGGTTAGTGTGCCCATTCCACACTGCCAATTGGTACCGAGATGCTTGCATTTCGGGGCGCTGATCTTCGCATTGATTTGATCCGTTGAGCTTTAGGGGCGTGTCCGTGGAGTCAAAATTGCTTAAATGCAGTAGGTTCCCACGTTAAACCAAAACTACAGATGCTTCTAGTAGAGTAAGATGGTGCCCTCCTCTGGGATATAAAGACCGGTTGGAAAAGGTCTTGGCTGCAATTTGATTTCGAGTGGGCTTAGTGGCACTCAAATCGTTTCAGTTGGTATAGCGCCAATTAGCCAAAGGTCAGCTGCCGTGGTCGAGGATTTAGAGTCTCTACTCGATGGGACCCAGGGTCGATCCTCGGTCTGAGTGTACTTTTGCTACTAAAAATGCTTCTCATAAAAAGTATCTTCCTTTCGGAGGTTGCATATGTTTTCATGGTAACATCAAACCGCATACCAAAAACCGACTATGCTACAGGAAAAGAAAACCGGAATCAAAAGAGGCCGAGCTAACCAAACAAGCATGTAAAGATACACAGTAATGGGCATTCTATCGCCTCTTCTCTGACTAATCGTAGCTAACGAATTGCTAAAAAACTATGTACGGAAAAGTGGAAAAACTAGTCGCGCACGTAGACGACTTAGAGGTGGCGGTGGAAACCATCAGCAGCGTAATGAAAAGCTGTTTAAGGCAATACAACTCTAGGCGTTACATGGTGTCTGTCACCTACTCCAATATTACACTATGGAGCGCCGGTGTTGTGGATGGAATCGAGAAAATTGTCCATAGCATATGGAAAAATACAAAGTTTGGCCTCCCATTACATAACGGAATGCGGAGGATAACTACAGCAGCTGTTTTTTAGTGAATTTGCAGGGTGTGGAGATTCATTTGAAGGGGAATGTCCAATACCTAGGACTGATTTTAAACAGTTAGCTTACGTGGAAACCTAATAAAGAGAAAAGAGTTAAGCAGGCCAACGTTGCATTAGACACGTGCCAACGAACGGTTGGAATCAAATGGGGATTAACACCACGTTTTTTGTATGGTGACCATCAACCAAGAAACCCACTAATCCGCCCACGGATAGGCTCTTTAAGACGAACATCCCGTCAAGAATAGAGCGGAAAACACCAAGACCAATCTTCCACTGAGTGAAAACAGAGGGATACCCATGGTAAACTGCAAATGAAGGATTAGAAATAACAGTTTTTAAGAAGCCAATCGGTCATAGTCTTTGGCTATTTATTCGAGATTAGGAATATTCGCGCATGAACATTGCAGAAGTTGCAGAGATGAGGAAGAGGAAGAAACAGTAGAGCAGTTTTTCTGCTGTTGAACAGCTTTAGCCGAAAGCAGGCCTTTTGGGTAGGCACTTCTTTAGCGCTATTAGGGAACTATCCGGCGCGGCATCAAACCAATTATATGCTCAGTAAGAGCTTCAAAATGGTTATATGGAAAATAGTCATTGCGGTTCCCGTGTTTGACAGTAGTATTACAATGCACCTGCAAGGCCGAAGTGAACTGACTGTCACATCAGCCTAACCTAGCCTAAAGCTCGATGTATGTCTGGTGCCCGTAAACGGTCTATCCGCAGCGAACAGCGAGCCATATTAACCTAACCTAGCCATATTTCACGAATCACGGAAAATATCTAGGTAGATTAAATTTTGCCAAATAAACATACTTACATACATCTGACTCGGAGCAAATCGAGCATGAATATATGTAATTTGAATCGATAGAAAGATTGAGAGTTCAATCAGAATACAGATACACATATATTTCCACGCTTCTTTTAAGACTTTTTAAGTAAAAATTTTGTTCTTACTCAACTGATATCAGCAAAGATTCCGATAAGTCAGGGTGTCTTCGTTTTACCATTTTTTTTTTGGTTTTTTGTTAAAACAGCTTCTTAGCCACCCCACAGTGCACACTATGGATGCTCACTCTCAAGTACTACCTTGATTTTTCAAAATATTTGTCAACATCCAACTACTCACAGCATTTTGTGCCTTCTCTTAGTTACTCACGACCGCCAATGCCGAGTCGTAAGCATGGAAATAAAAAAACAGGTAGATATTTAGATACATGGAAAGAAATTCTTGTTATGCTGGTTTTGCAATCTGCTACGCGCAGGTTGATGCTCAGATGCTGAGCTACCGAGATCTCTCATAGGTATGTGTGAGTTGCTGTTACAGAAGGTGAGCGTTGCGTTTTTTTTTTTTTTTTTTTTTTGATG